CTACTGTGATCCGTTTTCATACATACCTTCATTGAGCTTATATATCGACATAGAATAGTCAAATTTATTCTTGAATTCTACCGACAAGAATAAATATGAACGCTTGAGAATTATATTTGTTTTATTTAACATTGATAGTATTGTGACTGTGTATTATTATTATAATAAAATTTTAATTTATTAAATCATGAAGGTAAAACATTTTTGTTTTCAATATCATACAAAATCTTAAAACTCTTCTCTAGGCTTTTTGGATATATACTGTTGAACAGTTAAAACAAGTGTTCAATCCTCTCTAATGTTCAATGTTTGATCAATTGGAATTAGATAATGATAAAATATTATTTTCATAAAAGGCCACACTATAATTTATGAACGAACCAATCAGATACAAGATAATGAGTCACGAATTTCTGGCGCGAACTTCATAGATTTGTCTAAATAGAGTTTTAACATTGTAGCTGATGGTAGTTCGTGATGAGAACCCTGAAATCTAATTTTTTTAAAACCCTAACCATCAATTGTAAATGAGAATTCGAACTGCTTTATAATCCTTATTTAATTTTAATCAGTAGGTATCCACTCTCATGGTCACTTCAGCGTCGTTCAAAGGTCGTTCATAAATTACAGTCCCACCGAAAAAAATAATAAATAAACAATAGAATTTTTTCATTATTCGTATGTTTACATCCAACAAATGCTGAAAAGGTATGAAATTCTATAAAAATTTATAGAAAAAACAGTCGAAAGTAAAGATATAAATAATCTAAGCAAATACGTCATTGAAAACATTGAATTTGTTTTTATTTATGTAAGAGAATAGGAATTGTTTCTTTTTTCATTTAACGACAATCATATAGTATCAACATTCAGTTAAAATCATATTGATAATATTTTTTAAAAATATTACTATGCAATTACTTGTATAAAAACTAACGGACATATGCTGAGGAGTCCCACAATAGGACGAAATGGCCGTCCAGTGCTTACAGGTTTTCCATGGTGGTCTAGCTTCAACTGATTGATGATCTCAACCATTGGAATATGGAACTGTTAATATATACAATTGTTGAATTTATGAGTCCATCTAAACTAGATCATCAGTGAAAACCCAGAATTTCATACACTTGGTTCCTTTTATGAGTTTAAATAAAGTCAGAACAAACATGGATGCAGAATAATATGAATTGATTATATATCGTGGTTTTTTATCAGCTGTTTACAATGTTAACTTTCAATACATATATGGTTGTAAGCAATTGATGAGAAACCACGAAATATAATGAATTCATATTATAGCTGAAATTATGAGCCAACTGACGATAGGTAACCATGGAAAACCTGGAAGCACTAAACAGCTGTTTTGTTCTAGCATGGGACTCTTCATCAGTGCACATCCACGATCCCGCTTAGCAAAAACCTATCAGTCTCGTGCACGAGCGCTTAACCTCTAGACCAATGAGCTGGTCGGCGTCCAACGGTGTTAATGTCTAACTTCAATTAATCCATGAAATTGGGCGACACATCCACCACTGTCATCAGTGAGTTACTATCTCACAACTCACCCGGTTGAACTCCACTAGTCACTGTTTCTCACTAGGATTCCAGAAAATAACTCTTGGAAACAGTAACTAGTGAGCATATGATTATTATTATGAACAGGGTTTTGTGGAAATTCGAGTAAATTTATAGTTGAATTCATGAGTCACTTGAAGCTAGACTGCCATGATGGTCTAATAAGAATTCATATTATTCTGCATCTATGTTTGTTATGGCTTTATTTGAAAAACCTAGAAGCACTAGACGGTTTTCAATGGTGATCTAGCTTAGATCGACTGATGAATTTAATTGTTAAATTACTATTATCTCCACACATCCCCATTCTCAAATATTACTGCTTTTTGGTCAAAAAATATCAGCAAGTAGATATTTTTCGAAATATCCCAGATTATGTGTTGATAATTCTATAATGCTCTATGATGCTAAATAAAACTATTATTATCATCATTACTACTATTATTATTGAATGATTTGAACTATTATATATAGAGGAAATGAGCCGAACGAAAGAAACTTTCAGTTGTCTTTTTAAACTATAATAATTTAGGCATCTCAGAATAAAAAAAGATAACTCCTTGTACACTATGCAATGTCTCCGTATAATTATTTTGTGGAAAAAAGATTAATTTGATCAGTACGATAAATATTTAGTTATGTTTATGAACTGTTTATGACGAAATATGTATATTACAGTAAATATCTTATAATGTTCTTAACTATTCAAGCTTAGATATACAAAATCTCATTACTATCAGACCAGGCGAAATTTACATGTGATTCTAAGGTTGTTTAATGTGGCCCTAATAACATTAAGTAGGCCTAATATGCTATGCCCTCAAGTTACAAGGTTAATTTATTATTATTTAATCTGAATAAAAAGAAAACTATAAAACGAAACTCTTACTGTAATAAAATGAAATCGAATGATTTATTGTGTTTTTTAGGATTCATAATTAATAACAAAGTTAGGATGAAAATACCAGACTAATCATCAAGATCCTAGCATGACATCCCATAGCACAAAGGAAGTACACATCACAAACTTATATTGTACTGAGGAATCTCAAAAGCGTCCTTTTTTAGAGAGTTAGTTTTCTATGGGATGGGGTCACTAACCCCATGCACAACCCTCCTTCTTTATACGGGCTTGGGATTGGCTGTAACCACTGGGCCGGCATCCAGTAGGTCCAGTAGGCTGAGCAATCGCGCACGAGAGTGAAGGCCCTGGGTTCGAATCCCGCAAGTGGGATCGTGGATGCGCACTGCTGAGGAGTCCCACAATAGGACAAAATTGCCGTCCAGTGCTTCCAGGTTTCCAACAGTGGTCTAACATCAATGGGTTCATGATCTCAATCAACAACTTCATAATCTGCACAATCCCCTATACTGATAAAAGTTTATAAATTACACTTATATTTTAATGGTAATAATCTATAATCATATTTCATACATTTTTCTTAAAAATGAATACAAAATATGACAGTTATAAGAAGAATTAAATATTAAAAATAAAAACCAAGAATATTCTAAATGTTTAGATAGCTAGTCTGAAATTCTCATTGATTATTTTATTCTCATCAGTCCAATAATCCAATCAGAATAAAGGTAAATAGATGTATGAATGAGAAAAACGGTTTCTATTTTTCTTTCTATCTATTTATTTTATCTCCCTCTCTCTCCTTTTAGGATAAGTAGACTAGCTCGTTTATGTAAAAAGCAAAAAAAAAAGAAAATATTAGTAAATGAAACATTTTCAGAATGAAGATTTATGGAGATTGTAATAAGTTTATAATAGCTGAATTCGTAAGTTGATCTAAGCTAGAATATCATTGAAAAGCTGGAAGAACTGGAAGGTTGTCTCGTACTAGTATGGGAATACTCACGAGTGAGCATCCACGATCTTGCATACGAGACTTGGACCAAAGATCTTTGGTTTCACACGCGAACGCTAAGCCTTTAGACAATTGAGATGGCATCTAACGGTGTTACTGCCTAACTTCAACCGATCCATGATCTCGCACAATCCTTTATATATTGTCGGAGGTGGATAACTGTCTCTACTCGACACGAATTGGACTCTATTGATCACAGGTTCTCATTAGAACTCCAAGGAATCCATCTTGAGGCTTGTTACTAGTGTGCAAAAGATTATGGAGATTTGCGGAGATTGTAGTAATTTTTAATAGTTTAATTCATGATTCAATTGTGGATGCTCACTGCTAAGGCGCCCCATACTGGGACAAGACGGCCATCCACTGCTTCTAGGTTTAAAATGGTGCCCCAGCTTAGATCGACTCATGAATTCAACTATTAAAATGAGATATTTATTCAGCCAGTATAAACGTAATGAAATGAAGCTATATAATCAATGAATAGAAGATTAATGTCGAATATCGTATTTTGTTTTAAATATTATATAATCTTCTTAAATCCTCATTTCTGATAACAACAGAGACAAATATACAAATCACAGTGTTCAGTGTGTTGTTATACAGTACACCTAGCATACATAGTTACAATAACCAATAAAAATTAATAAATATACAATAACTGTTGGTAGTCATCTCAGTTCAGAGTTGACACTGAATTACAACCATAGGAAATCAATAAAAAAGTATTTTAATTGCTAGGAATTTTTAGTTCATAAGAGGGCATCGATAGAAAAAATTTTGATTTAGGAGATTGTTATCAAATTTAATAGATACCTCTTTAAAATATAAAATATTTAATGGCTTAAATAGCTCAAAGATATATATATTATATATAATATATAATATATATTATATACATTTTAACGTTATTTCATGTACCACAAATTATTTTTATCACATTCATTTGTTAAGTTAGTCAGTCATATTTAACTGAGAACTTGGAACTTATATTTATCAGTTCATGTTATAGATTAACACATCGAGATGAAAAATACCAAAATATACGTCAGAGTTGTAGAGGTAGTAACAGTCTCAGTGGAAGTAAAAAATATTAGGTGCATACGTTATGATTCGTGGAAAATGAATCTGTACACATAGTAAGGCATATATAATAGTTTTAGAACTCATGACTTAAGTAGAGACACGTAGTAGAAGCACCTGCTCCATTAAGACCTATTCTAAACAATGTCATCTAACACCGAAAACTGTTGGATACGATAATCACACAGAAACCAATTAGGTAGTCTTCACTTATCTACGTGGTTCAGTCTGATAGTCAACGAATTCATAGATGCGATTCATTGATGCAATCACTTAGTTTGACGGCCCCTGGACTTTCTTCAAACCTACTCATATACTAGTCAACATCGTGCATCGAGTTAAATCGTTACCGGTTATATGTTGTACACCTCATTCGTTCCTTCTTAGTTATATGTTTGAATATATTTGAAATTAAAAAAAACATTCTCTTTCAAATCTTTGACCTTATTTTCTAAATTTTCTTTATAGAATAATGTTTCGAACAGCTGCTATGATCAGTCTGGCATCAGTTAGTATGAATACACCGGATACATTTAGACAAGTTCCAGTGTTAATGTATATTACTTTTATCTTGGATTTGATGGTTGCATTATTATTCACAGTGGAAATGATCAGCAAAATGTATATCGAAGGCTTATTTGTTCCTGCATCAAGTCAGGTTAGTAATTCCATTATCTAAATGTGACTTTTTTCCCGAAAGAAATCTTTTGATTGTTTATCGATTCATCATGATATGTTCACGCTGATAAATCTTTTCAAGCTTTTTGTGATCTATCAAGAATTTCCCTTAGATTTCAGTTTGATAATGAAGTTAGTTGGTCAGATATCTGAAATGCTTTTGACAAAATTCGCACTATTAGTCATCAGAACAATTTTGTAATACTGTAATTTAATAACTAATGCTTGTATAATTAAACAAGAATGTTTGGTGTTCAGAATTTAGCCTATTTTATCGACTAGAGATAAAAGGGAAACTTGAAACTAATTTGTGAACGGAACGGAAAATACTAAATCGGTCATTTTATAAAACTTCGACATATACATGAGAACTGGTTGAGAGTTCAAAATTTATCCAAACTCAAATTTTTCGTTAAACAATGGATTCGTCCCCATGTAATAGCTGCGAAATTTACAGTAGACATTAAAGGGGACAGAAGGTACAACATTATAATCCAGCCTACCTTTATCCAGTAGTATCAGCTAAGTTTAAGATGAATTTTTTGTATTAGAATTGTGATCAGCGGTAGAACCCAGGGTACTTATTTCGTTTTACTTGGGACTCATTAGTTGGATGTACCCACATTTTAGCGTTTATATTCATAACGAAATCCTACTTCAGTGTCTTTCGTTACAAATGATGGAAACTGAACATAAAACCAGTTATTAAAAATCATAAAATCATACCAAAACTCAATATTTGGTCAATGAATCACTACAATAGATGTAAAGTCATGATATCTTAAGCTTTCAGATAGTGATTATGGCTACGTAATGGGCTTAGATCAGAGAAGTACAGATCATTACAAGAGTAGTGTATGATTTTATCAACTATTATAATTTTTAGCTTGATTCGCTCACTTTATTATCAATTATGGCTTATATTACGGACTGATCTTAGTTAAACAACCAGTAAGCAGCACGAAATGTTGAGAATCCATTTTGTTCTGGTATGCTGCATTGCATTCCATAGTGAACAAGAACTCAGGTGGAGAAAACCAATTTATTGTTTAATGAACAACCACACAGTGGTTTAGTAAAATGTGAAAATCATACATCAAATATATTATTTTCACATCTTTAAATTGTCTCTCACAAGCTTCATTATTCCTTCATTACTGTTATTATCTTGATAGCTTTCAGTTTACTTGCCTCTTCTTTTCATTTCAAGTTTCTCAACCACTTGCTCTCAGACATTTCACTTACAACTGGTGTTACATACGACTACAAACATAAGTAGCACACACACCCACACACCGTATATCCACGCTATATATATTTAACTATAAAATTCAACAGTCTTCACAAATGAGGAGAGGTTTTGTGGAGATTGTAGTAATTTCAATAGTTGAGATCATGAGTTATTTAAAGCTAGACCAGGATGTAAAGCCTGGAAGCAGAAGACGGTCGTTTCGTCCTATTGTGGGACTCCTCAGTAGTGCGCGTCCACGATCCTGCCTCACGAGATTTGAACTCAAGACCTATCAGTCTCGCGTGCGAGCACTTAACCGTTAGACCACTGGTCAGCATCCAACGGTATTAATGTCCAACTTCAACCAATCCAAGAAATTGCGCCACCGTACACCGAAACGCCGATGGATGCCGGATCAGTGGTTCAATGTTTAAGCGCTCGCGTGCGAGACTGATAGGTCCTCGGTTCGAATCTCACGGGGGCGGGGTCATGGATGGGCACTGCTGAGGAGTCCCACAATAGGAGGAAACGGCCCTCCAGTGCTTTCAGGTTTCCATGATGGTGATACATGATTTCAACTATTGACTTTTTTATATTGATTAGAAAACTTATCGGATGGAAAAAATTAACTAGTCCCAATGAATAAATATTTTGATTGGTCACCTGAATTAATGTAAATAATAATTTAAAAAATATCTCATTAAGTAAATATGTAACATATTTGATTAAATATACGATTGAAAGGTCAAACTGGGAATAAATTGTTCAACAATTAACTGACCGATAAATTATTTACTTCTTTACGCCTTGATTGGTATGTAACCTCATTTATGATGCAATCTTTTCTATCCTTCTATAGACATAAATTTTCCATATATATAACTATATAAATACAAATGTACAATTCAAGAAAATGATTTTGTCGAGAGAAGAAATTTTTCTTTAATGAATTCTCTTTTTCTTATTCATTGACACTATGGGTTATTTTAATTATCAATAATTATCACTTCCCTTACCTTATATTATTATTATTATTAATGTTATTCCTGTATAATACTGATTTCATATTCATAGAACTGAGATAAACCAATCAATCCAATGGTACATTATGAATACGCAGCATTTTTCTTTTATTGAAAACTTGTATTTCATTAAACTTTTGATATTCATACAAGCTATTATTATTATTATCATTATTACTATTAAGTCTTATATTCACAATTTCAGATGACCTCTTTAAGTAGGATTTTTCTATAAACAATTTTTATTCTTATTAAATAATGATTAGTTTATTTAATATACTTTAATTATGATTTCTTGTAGTTATAATTAAAAAGGTTATTTAACATAAAGGTAGTGGAGAAGATTTATAGCTCAGGTGGATGATTTTGATAGTTTTGTTCTCTGGGGTGGATGATTTGGTCATAGAGCTTTCATCACATGTGGAGAAATTTGAACGCTTCACTTCTATCTGAAGTTTGTACTGATGTTGTAGTTCAGAGGAACGATGAAAGCTCCACAATCAAACCATCCAACTCAGAGAACAAAACTCCATCAATAACATAAAGGTAACTATCATTAAATCAACATTTTTAAATAACATGAAACAGTCATTAAATATACACCATTTGATGCAGGCTCAGTGATCCAGTAGGTTAAGAGTTTGGGCGCAAGGCTGAAGGCCCTGGGTTCGAATTTTGCGGGGGATGGGATCGTGGATGCGCACTGCTGAGGAGCCCCACAACAGAACGAAACGGCCGTCCAGTGCTTCCAGGTTTTCAATGGCGGTTTAGCATCGATCGGTTCATGATATCAATCAGTATACAAGAGATATATCAAAGGTAAACAATATTTCAATGTTGAGATGGTGGAGAAGATTTATAGCTTAGGTGAATGATTTTGATATTAAATGAGTATGATCCTATTTTCTAAAAGATAATAATTGTTATCAAGGTATATTCAATTTTATTTATGAATAATTGATGTCTAAATTTTATGGAGTGAGATTTGATGAACAATTTTTTGATTGTTGAAATGAAAGAAAAAAATTACTGATCAATCATTGGTACACAGTGATGCGATATGTAGTCAAGTGGTGGTTTCTCACAAAATAATATTATGGACACACGTGACTAAATGACTGCAAATCAATAACAAAACCAGAAACCCAAAGAATAACTTTCTTTTTTCTTATGAAATAACACGCTTATATATAAAATATATCGAATACATAAATAAACATGATTAGATAGCATGGAATAATATAAACGATTGGAGGATATCGCAGCTACATACCTCCAATGGGATGAATGCCTAACTAACAAAATTAATTAATACTCTATTACATTATATCACTACAACTTTTCAATAACTGTTTGGTCACAAGAACTTATTACCAGCTGACATTTGATTTGCTTTGACATGATGGAGCAGTTTTACATCTACAGTGGATTCTTTTCGTGGTATCACATTCTCGGAGTTGAATGGTTTGATTGAGAAAAATTCACCGATGTTTTGGATATATATATTATGGTAGACGTTGATAGTAATGTTGAAGTATATATTATTAGAACATACTATCAGGAAAAGCGATGTTGCTTTTTGATGGTAATCAAGTGTAAATATCTCAGATAAACAAGAGGTCAGTCACACTCTTCAGTAGCTTAATGGTGAGTTCAAACCCCATTAGAAATATCAGTTCCCTCAAGATAGCAAGCGTGCAACACTAGTGGAGTTTTTCTGCCAACTACATACAACTATATAACCAACACTGAAAGATCGTGAGATTTGATCATGTTGAGTGCGACTTACTTAACCACAGGCAATGGGCGTTGATCATACAAGACCATCAACGGATTAAACTTAACAGCATAAACACATATATGCTGGCTCAGTGGTCTACAGGTTAAACATTCGCGAATGAGAATAAAATCCCTGGGCTGTATTCTATGTGATGCAATCGTAATTATTGAAATGTGTTACTTTCTATATAGTTTTCAATGAAAAATACGTTATAAACATAATACTCTATATTATCATTGTGTTCATATTGTCTTCATATCATCAATTTTCATTTCAAACAATTTACTTGAGTGTAAACAGGCATCATTTTGATCAATAATAACTTTTTCTCTTCTCATTACATTCTTGTAATTTCCATATATTGAATTCTTGATAAATCCAACTTGTTGAGAAGAAAATGTATTTCTTCATAGTATCTATATAAGAAACCATTGAGATAATAGACCTTATCTACTATCTGTATTTTACTATTCACTAATAGATGTTATCAAAGTAATTCTCTTTCTAACATTCTTACACTTCACTATCATCCTAATCAAACAAAAAAATTATTCGTTTTAAATGTCATTAACTTATTAAGTTATGTGATTATATGTATTAATTAAATAATAAGATAATCCTGTTATTAGTACAAACTATTATTTCGACCAAAATCATTAAATTGGAGAATTTGACTTAAATGTTATTTGATAATCAACAAAATATCTCAGACTTTAGATCCGTAATAATAATCTAAAAAAAATTCTATTACTGATTATTAATATTAGAAAGGTTTTTGTGGATATATAGTGATTTCAATGGTTGAGATCATGAGTCAGTTGAAGATAGACCACCATGGAAAACCTGAAAGCATTGGACGGCCGTTTCGTCATACTATGGGACTCCTCAGCAGTGCTCATCTATGATCCAGCCCCCCGCGAGGTTCTAACCCAGGACTTGTCAGTTTCGTGCACGAATGCCTAACTACTAGACGACTGAGCTGGTTGGCATCCAACGATGTTATTGCGTTATTGTGAGATAGTAACTCACTGAAGACAATGGTCGATGGCGGCCCAATTTCGTGGAATAATTGAAGTTAGACATGTCGGCTCAATGGTCTAGAGATTAAATATGAGCGTGCAAGACCGACTGGTTCTAGCTTCGAAACTGACTAGACAGGATCGTGGATGCACACTGATGAACAGTCCCACAATAGGATGAAACGACTATCTAGTGCTTCCCTTTTTTCCATGATGGACTTTATTCAATCGATTCATGATCTCAACCATCGAAATTACTAATTTTTACATGAGAGGGAAACTATTTAGTTTAAATGGATAATTTCAGTAAATGGTTTTGTTTTTCTCATAAACGATCAATTGAATCAGCAATATCATCAATATAAATTTTAAATAAATTCCCTTTTTTTACATAAAGTTTATTTTACTGATATTGACTAGAAACTGGAGATAAAAGTTTCATTATTGAAATCATTCAAATTGGATCATTTAACTGTATCAAAATAATAAAAACGATGAATGTATTTGTAAAATCTTCCTTTTTTTCCTTTTAATATCTCATATTAACTCAGCATTCAAATACTGTGAAACTATTCAAGCAAATTTAAACAAAAGTTCTTATCTTCAGGAAGAGTTTTGTGGAGATGCTAGTAATTTCAGTAATTGAAATCATGAGTCAATTGTAGCAGGACCACCATGAAAAAACTGGAAGCACTGAACGGCCGTTTCTTCCTGCTATGGGACTCCTCAGACGTGCGCATCCACGAATCCGCCCCCACGAGATTCTAGCCCAGGGCCTATCCGTCTCAAACGCCAGCGCTTAACCATTAGACCACTGAGCTGGCATCCAACGATATTAATGTCTAACTTCAATTGACTCATGATTTCAACTACTAAAATTACTAAAATCTCCACAAAACCCTTCCTGATAATAATCATCTGTTCACTAGTAACTGACTTCAAGTGACACTCCTGGAGTTCTAGGGAGAAGCCGTGGCCAGTGGAGTTCATCCAGATCTGTTGTGAGATAGTAACTCACTGAAGACAATGGTGACAGTGGCGCAATTCCGTGAATTGCTTGAAGTAGGACATTAACACCGTTGGATGTCGAAAAGCGCAGTGACCTAGTGGTTAAGCTCCTGGTGCGAGACTGATATTTTCTGGGTTCGAATCCCGCGGGGTGCGGGATCGTGTATGCGCACTGCTGAGGAGTCTCATGATAGGATGAAACGGCCGTTTAGTGCTCCTAGGTTTTTCATGGTGATCCTGCTTAAATTGACTCATGATTTCAACTGTTGAAAAGTTCTTATCTATTAAAATCTAATTGATGATAAGTTAATAACTAGGATAATGAAAACTATTCTATAAAAAAAGTATTGATTTCTTGTAATTAGCAACAATTTTGTTTTTTCTTCAATCTATTTAGAAATTATCTAGTTCATTTCATTCAATTCTTTTCTCTTCCTTTTTGTTTTTTAAAAAAAAATATAATTTTTTTGTTTTATTAATAAATTAACATATTTATCAAATAATATAGAATTTGAATCAACTAATTCGAACACAAATTGCTGCCAAGGTAATAATTTATCTATTATTTATGATATATATTTATGATTAAGTATATACATATTTATAATTTATATGATTCTGACGATTATATCCCATCAATCTATTATTCAAGTACCATTTACACATATGCACACAAGCACACACACACACACGGAAACATACACAAAATATTACAGTTTTAGTTACATAATCGAATTAATTTGAGTTCAAATCAATTGAAAGTTCTTTTTATATATTTGTTTGTACACGTTTTCCAGTTTTTATTTTATTTTCAGTTATATTGTTTTCATTTATTTTATTACTATTTGAGTTGACACATTGTTTGTGTGTATGTGTTTATATGTTGATATAATAATGAGAAATATAATTTTTGTTTATTTTATTTGTCAGAAGGAGTTTTTTGGAGATTTTAGAAATTTTACTAGTTGAAATTATGAGTCAATTGAAGCTAGAACACAATGGAAAACCTAAAAGCACTAGACAGTCGTTTCGTCCTAGTATGAGACAATACGCATCCATGATCCCGCCTCGCGAGTACCTATCAGTCTTGCGCGCGAGCACTTAACGATTGAGCCACTGATCTGGTCGGCATCCAACAGTATTAATGTCCAATTTCAACTAATCGAAGAAATTGCGCCACCGTACACGATTGTCTTCAGTGAGCTGATATCTCACAACAGATCTGGTTGGTCTTCACTAGTAACGGCTTCTCACTAGAACTCCAGGAAATGCCTCTTGAAGTCAGTCACTAGTGAGCAGATGTTCGCACAATTTCGTGGACTGGTTAATGTTAGACATTAATACCACTGGATGCCGGCCGGCTCAGTGGTCCAATAGGCTAAGCGTTCGTGCGCGAGACTAAAGGCCCTGGGTCGAATTCCGCAGATGGGATCGTGGATGCGCACTGCTGAGGAGTCCCACTATAGGACGAAACGACCGTCCAGTGCTTCCAGGTTTTCCATGGTGGTCTAGCTTCGATTGACTCATGATTTCAACTATTTTATTTGTATTACGACTAGATAATAATTTGATGGAACAGTATAATACACACAGGAACAAGCTATACATGTATATTTGTCAGTTTCTAATAGAATTTAATTAAAATAGGTAGTTTATTAAGTTCTTAAATCCTAAATCATCTATTTTATAACAAACATAATGGAGTATTTAATATGAATTCAAATTACAGAAGTTTAGTTTCACGTGTTCCGATACAATTTTACATTTAAGGTTTAACAAGTTCATCTAACTTTTTATTAATATGTACAGGGAGTCTTCTTAAAAATTTAAGGCAATTAGTCACTTTGATAAATTTCGATAATGTAATAGGAAGACGATGATCTTCGTCTTCCTAACTCCAAACAGTTGAGAGAGTAAATACTTAAGAATATACATTTATTACTAATAACAATAGAAAGCGTACGGATATTTATTGGATAGTTCGACGAAAATGGACAAATCTAAATGTTATGTAGCTGATTAGCAGATAATGTGCAATGAAACATTGATTAGATCTCATTTTGACCTACCGTTTTTCATATGATAATAATAAAAGGTCTGGTTATTCATTGTTTAAGCATCAGTCAGACGTTCTCATTCACGAATTTTTTTCATAAATGTAGAATCGAAGATGATTTTCCTTTGTGATTTGTGGGAATACCACTAAGGTGTACAAAAATATCGATGAAATAGCCGTAACATCATATATCAAGTCAAAATGTAGTATGGATATTTTTTATTCAGTCTTATTGTTAATCAATATTAAATCAGTATTTCTTATAGTGGTCAGATTTGTTATATATTTTACATAGAAATGTGCAATTGTGTCAAATAAGATAACTCATATTTTGTCGTTCCATCCCTCACTATATGGATCAAAAATTCTGATTTGTGAATACCCGTCACTTGATCACTCTAATAATAATCACTAATAATCACGTCAGGAATCGACCGCGCAAATCAACATCACTCATATGAAAATTTCCTCCTTTTATAGCGAACCCGCATAAAGTACAAACCTCAAAAGACCAATTCTGGTTAATAAAACTATAAATAACTGTGAATTATTCGACATATTAAAAGTTTTAATAGTGATAGATGAATAAGCTAACATACAGAAATTCAATGGGAAAGAAAACTACAAACCTTCATATAAAAATCAACATAATGATTTGTATAGGGTTTGTGGAGATTATTAAGTTTTTTTTATTGAGATCATGAACCGATTGATCCCGCTCGCGGGATCGTGGATGCGCACTGCTGAGGAGTCCTACAATAGGTCGAAACGGCCGTCCAGTGCTTCCAGGTTTTCAATTGTGATGGTCTAACATCAATCGGTTCATGATCTCAATCAAAAAAATAATGATTTGTATTGTCTTTTTGATCAAGTTGTATAAATCTAAAATCATAATATGAATCTCATGAGACTTTGATCCATTGTAAATTGTGTCATGGATTTGACTTCATTATTAAAGTTTAAAGAATATTGTTGCTCATTATTCTTAAATATTAAAATTTTAAATGAATATTAAATTCTATTCAAAATCAAATACCCTTATCCTTTGGGAAATTCATGTTAATGATGAAGTTGGTTAATTGAACATTTAGCCAACATATACATGAAGTAGAAGTTGATGAAAATGTTCACGGTGACAACGAAAGTTTTACAACTAGAACATCTGAATAAAAGAATACAATTCTAGAAAAAGTCTACAATGTCTGTATTTCAATAATTCAGCTAGGAAGAGGAGTTTATAATGACAGTGCATGGAAATTGTTGTATGTCACATACACCCATCAAAAATGTAATCATTTGGTTTTTGAGGTAAATACCTTCAGTATCATTTGATAATGAATAATAGATATAGTTATGATAGCAATCCTAATATAAAACTTGGTGACTGTTGATCTCATTTACCAATATACAAACCTTTATTCATAGAACGGGCGTTCAATATCACTAGTGTCATATTTCATGATTCCTTGGAATTTATGATGGGAAATCTTAATCAAGAGGATTCAGATATGACGGTAGTCAAACAGTTATGATCAGTCGTTCCACTATATTGCCAGTGACTAGTGTTGTAACTGTGCTACTAAACATCAGATCAGTGGATCTAAAGGTTAAGCGTTCACCGTAAGAACTGAATACTTTGAGTTCAATCCCTGCTAGATTGTTACTCAACATTAAAGAGAAATTTCGAACTAGGATCAGATAGCTGTTCAATTTTTTCTGATTCTACTTAGTACCTCGTATGCGATCAGTCTATGAAAATTACAGTACCCAGGAAAAAGATACAGATAATCCAGATTTTTATTAGTATAATCTCTAATTGGATAATTCTCAGTTAAGTAGGTTAACCTTATAGAAAAAATCTACGCTCATCTTAAGAAATCAAAGCTTATATAACACCAACACATTGATCGTTTAGCTAATTTCTAATAATAATGAATTTTATAAATAAATTAATATTTTTGTAACACTACAATGAGTAGAAAATTTAGATTTTTTTACGTTTCGTGACTAAGTGTAAATTACTTTTTATTTATTCTCTGTAAAAGTGGCTTACACTGAGTCACAAAACGTCAGAAAATCTAATTTTCCTACTTATCAGAATATTACAAATATATTAATTTATTTATAACAATCTCAATTGGGTGATCATTGGATGGTGACCAATGTTATGTGTGTCAATTTCCTCTTAGTGCAGATCGAATGCTATCGACCATGTTGCAATGTGGCCACCAGTCTAGGTGGCTCAACACTGCGTGCACTATGTTGAGATTAAATGGTGGTTGGAGGTAGCCAACAGGAAACCCTGAACCCACGTTCCGTGCTACTTGGCACTCGTCTGTAAGGTGTGCCTGTAATCTTGAGGGAACTGGTGCTTTCTGACGAATTCAATGCCGTGGCATCCAGCTTCATATTTAGAGACGTTACTACTGGTCTATCCGGGCCGCGACGGCTCCTGATCTATAGCATTCAATCTGTACTAAGAAAAACTTGACACACATGACATTGACCACCCATCACCCAGTGATTAATCAATTGTGATTACATCTCAGTCATACAGGAGATCGGTCGCGACTCGGATAGCTCAGTGGTAACATCTTTAACTGTGAAACTGTATAACACGTGATCGAAGCCGTCAGGGAGCAATAGTTCCCTCAAGATTACAGATACACCTTTCTGACGACTGTCAAACAGCACAAAATACGTATCCATAGTTTCCTTCTAACTACCTCCATCCACTATCTAATTTATAACAATCTATCCAATACTTCATTTATTAGAAATTATTCAATCAAACATTGGTAATGACACCTACAATAATGAATTCGTTATTTTTTTTTTAAAAGTAATAAACATTAGAACTATCAAAAGTATCATGATCATTATAAACAATTAAATGCATGAATTCCCTTTATTTATTTATTTATTTATTTATTTATTTATTGACACATCACATATAATTTCAAATTAATTTCTTTTCATTAATTTGCGTTTATTTTTTTATTTTTTTATTTTCGACATTTTTCGTAATACATTTTTGTTATTACTTCATTTATTTATTTAATTTTAGAGAAAACCAAATATATATCTATATATGTATATATATAATTTGAGTTTCATCACCAACTTCTTTATTTCCCTTCCCCCCCTCCACCTCTGTTACTGTGTATAATTCGACATTAGTTTAAAATACTTTTTTTTTGTTGATGATTTTATTTTCAGTTCGGTTTATTTTAACACAGCACCATATACTATTTGTTTTTGCATGCTATCACTTTGGTGTACTACTATTAGTAGTATAATATAAATAAATCAATTATATTCTGTAAATAATTATGGAATGCATGCTAATTTATTGATATGCTTAGGTTGATACAGAAAATAAATTTACATTTAAAAGGAGTGAGGGTGGGAAATAACATGAATTTGTTGGAAAAGATGTAATTCATGAGTTGTTGGTAATATAAAGCAGTGATTGTGTGCCAATTGTTCTTATTCGATGAACTTTCGCATCTTGTTGATATATCAATAG